TATTAAATAGTATATTTAATTACCTTAAGTGCTTCTTTAGTTCAAAGTATTGAATTAAAACAAAAATAGTAAGAGTTTTAGCAAGTCTCTGCTGGCTTTATAAGAGTATAGTAGATATTATAAAGTAACTTTTGTTTATCTCATAAAAGGCTAGTAAAATATGTTGAATAATTAAAAAATTGATACGTTTTATTGCATTATTTGCAACTTAATAAAATAGTTCAGAGGATTTAAATATATCATTAACATATAAGTTAACTTGATGCACAAAACAGTGTAGAAATATCTTATCAGTAAATTTTATTTATAATTGATGGCTAATAAAAAAAATTTAGATTAGAATAAATTATAAAATTTAAATATATAAATATTTATTTAATATATAATAAAACCTTGCTGCTGCCATTTCTTCTGCAAAATCTGTTACTACATTATTTATTAAAATATTTTTAGATTAGATTTCGCTAAAAATATTTTCAATATGTTTTATTACTTCTGCAATACGGATTCGTTTATTACTAATATCAATTACACCCCAAATTAAAGAAGTACCAGAGGAAAGTATTAATGTACTATCAAGCAAAGATTAATTACAGATATTTTTCCAACCATCAAGTGCAAGTATAATACCAATTAGATTGCTAGAAGCTAAGTTAATAATTTGTCATTTTGATTTTTTTGTAGCCTCTTTAAGAATTGAATTGGCTAACTTCCTTCAACTAGGTAATATTAAACCAAGAGTAATAAATTTAAAAAACTCTTTAGTTTCTTTATTTTCTACTCAAGAAAATGAAAATCTATTTAAAATAGTTATTCGAAGCAAAAGACTATTAAAAGTAGATATGTCTTTAGTTGATAATGGTCGTCCAAGATAAGATGTCATTTTTGTTTGAACTGAAGCTGAAAATAATGATATATTTGAATCTGTATCTAGTTTTAAATTAAAGTTTTAATATATATATTATTTATATATTTAATAAATTAATAATAATAATTATATATATTAATACTTACTAGCATAAGTTGTATGTAATTTTTTTGTACTAGATTAACTTTTTCATCTGATACCAAAATTTCTGCCTGTTCTTCTTCTGTATATTTAGATAAAAAATTGGTGCAATTTTTTAAATATAATTTACAACATTTAAGTGTATTGGTTGTCTAGCAATCTTTCTTGGCTTTAGCTACTTCATATTTATTAACTTCAATACAACAAACACAAATAGCCTTTTTGTTAGATTTATTTGTAGAATAATCAGTTAAAACAAAATATGAACGATATTCGTGTTCTTTTTTGCCCATATCTATAATAGTTAATATTAATAAAGAATCAAAATATTTGATTATTCGATTAGAATTTTTATTTTAATTAGAAGCTAAGTATTTGAAGCATTTGAATTCTGCCTCTACAAAGGTCTTTTTATATGACTTTTTATACAATTTGTGTTTACTAATATTTGAATTTTCTATTATCTAAACCTTTACTTCTACGTGATTATGAAACTATTTTTAAAGTGATGTATAACGATTTTATATATAAATTATATATAACGTAGTGATTATATGCATAATAAATTATATATAATGATTTTATGCGTAATAATAAAACTAAAAGCAGAGGTTTTTTTTTGATTTTAATAACTGGTTTAGTGCATTAGGAGTGCATCAAATGTGAGCCAGGTTTTTATGAAAAGAGTATCTTTCTGCATTAAGAATAAAAAGCAAAATTTCCAATTATATTATATAATTAGAAATTTGTTTTGTATTTATAATACAAAAAGATGCTCTCTTCATGTAAGCCCAGGTCACATTCAACACACTCCTAATATATACCAGGAACGAATGTAATGAGTGTATAGTTTATACACTGTTTGGAGTGAGATTTGTCCGCAAAATCTTAAGTTTGATTGGTCCACATGACTTATTCATCAAACTTTGCTTATTTTTCACATATATTTCATTGCGCC